CTCTGTGGTATCGATCTTCTCATCTGTTTATTCTCGCGGTGGATTTAGCAACATGTAGTTCATGTAGTTCTCCATGTCCACTTGTTGCTGATGGTTGTGGTAGAGGAGCTGTAGATGTTGCACTAACATCTGTAGCATGGTCAGTAGCAGTACAGCAGTGAGCAGCATAGAGGTGGGAGAGGCGGGGGCTATGGCTTCATCGTTATCAGGAAATGATCGTATAGGACGTACACACGAGCCGTTTGCCCCCCAGAGCGTTTCGTCCGCAGATCTACCCACCTTGGGACCGTTACCGTTTGAGGGCTCCGTTTCCGCGGTTCCCTTACGGCCTCGTGTGGACGAACCGTGCATACGATAGAGAACTGTAGCAGATACAACCCGTTTCGTGTCCGTGTGGACGGGGCCTAACTCGTCAAGGAAATGATTAAACATATATATATTTTCCAACATCAACTCTAAGATTAACCCTAAATAGTTGTCATTTTTATCAGAAACATTTCCTCTACCAGAAAAACAGTAAAGACAGTGTGACCTTTTATCAAACTATCAACGCCCAATTGTTGGTTTACTAATGACAAGTTCCTGGAATACACCTTCAACTCTAGCTTTCACATTTGAACAAGTCTTTGTCCAACCAGCTTCTCAGGATGTTTGGGAATCCTAGGTCTACTCACATTCTTGGCACATTATCATACAAGCCAGATGATTAAGTTCCACCATAAATCAATAACAACTTCTCAGACATAGAGCGTGGGCAGAGAGTTCCACTTTCACTGTGCATAATCCATGATGAATTTGGATAATATATCCTCTAATCTGTTCAGTGAACACATTGATTTGTGGTGTGTGGGGGCTTACACCAGATGCTGTTGTTTCACAGTTAAATCCGTATTTAATGCGATGTGTACAGCTGCAGGTGCTCTTTCTTTCCTGAGGGATTCAAATCAATAACGGTTCATATTGGTGTGATGTCTGTTTACTGTAGGTGTTTTTGCCAGACTCCCTTTACTAAATAATGACTTGAAAACAGCAAGAAAAATGCATTTATCTAACCATGGAGCATCTTTTCAGCATTATACTCCCATTATTGTTTGGCCATTAGTTGATGCATTAGAGTCTTTTCCATGCATTACATTGTTTTTAGCTTTGGAGGAAATCATGAGGGATCATTAGAGCAAGAATGTTTTGTTTTCTTGACATTCAGCAAGCTATCTGCGCAAACACACTACTAATTTCCATTTATTTGACAACCAGAAGGAAACAAACGGAAAGACAGAAATGGTAGGAGAAGATATGGCTTATATAGACACGGAAATAAGAAAAAGGTGTTGGGCGAAAAAACAGACGGCTTAGTGGCAGTTAAAAGACGTTTTTTTTTTAGCGCCAATGAGGCTCAGGAGGACAGGGTCAATATTCACCACCCCGGCTTCTATCTCTGAGCGTCCACAGAGTGAATCCTCCAGCTAAAAATACCAGCACCGCCGCTTTATGACCATAACTGATGAGCCGTGATACTGCTGCTTGCTCTCTTAATACGGCTACAGAATCCAACCTTGTTCCCTCTCGAGCAAAACAGATTGGAAAGAATAACATTTTTTAATAAGCCATTAAAAGCGTTTTGGATGCTTTGAAATTGAATTCACTGAATCAGTTTGTACATCCAGTGAGAGATTTAGCTGATAGTGAGAGTGTTTGCTTTTGTGTATACCTTTCACAAAGGGAAGCTCTCCACATTGAATAATCTGCTCTTGATCTCTCCATGTAAGTGCAGGTGAGGATCAATTGTGTGGGAAGTGTCGTTGACTTTTGAAGCAGGAGTGCTCTCCACTTCAAATTTCTGTGTAGTCTAGAGTAAATGATAACTAACTACCTACCTTCTACACAACAGTGAATCAAGGCTTGGCTGTAATAGACAAATATAAAGGGAATCGGTTATCTTTTTTCTCCATACAGTTGAGGCAAATAGAAAGGTCATTTATTTTACAGGTATTGGGCATGAAAGGATACAGTTGCTGACTTTTGAATCATGGGGTTTATCAACATTCTGCATCTTAAAGCTGTTGTTTTGGACCCATTTCTGCTTGATTTTACATAGACCTTTAATGGATAAGCGAGGCAGTCATTATTGAAAGAAGAACACCACCATGGAGATTAAGATCCCAACGCAAAGTTGATTACTTATTATTCACAATATTGATTTTTAAATGATTTGTTTTAATTCAAAATGATCTTATTACTTCCGCCTAAGGAAATAATTGTCCATTCCTTGCTTAATAACTTCTCATGTAAACATCAGCAAAGCAATATTATTGGCTTTGTTGAAAAAGACACAGGTATTTTTAAATAAATAAAAACACTCCAAAGAAAGTGTGAATTATTGCTACATTTCCTGGTTCCATTTTACACTTCTTGGCCCAAACTTGTTTAAAACCTATCCAAATTGGCTAAAGTTTGTTGTCAATTGTTTGTTTTTTTGTTTTAAGATAATCTCTTTGAGCTAGTACGGCTATTACGAACTTCTAAACTTCAAAATTGACATCTTTATTACTGAGAACTTGCTGATAATTTTGTTAACCACACTAGTGAGAATCTTGTTTAATATGTGAATAAATTGAGGTGTGCACACACCGGGTCACACTGCCACTGCTAAGCCAGTGTTGCTCTGTGTGGTGCTACAGGGGAATGATGTGATGTTTGCTCACACAAATGCCCCTTTCTTTCTGTCTGTTACACCTTTGTGTGTGTGTATACGTGTGTGTGGTTGTCTCAGGGTGCATCCATTCATTTTTGACCCCCCTCCACCAATCCATCCATGTGGTGGCATGGCTGTTTTGCCCCCAAAGGTGCCTTAATGGTTTTGGCAACCATTTGCCAACAAGACAACTATATTTAGAGACGTGGCTAGCCAGTAAACACACTGAGTAATACTGAGATGCCGTCATTTTTAAGATCCTATGGACTATGATCTAAACAAACTGCTCTCTCGCATTCTCTCACACACACACACACACACACACACACACACACACACACCACACATCCCACACACACACACACACACACACACACACACACACACCACACACACACACACACACACTACACACACTTATGCTCATGTAGCCTATAGCAAATACAGTATGAATACTTGCAATGTGGTGATATGACAATACCTAATGTAAGAAGAGGTAGTTTTTTGAGAAAGCCAGCACATTGTCCTCATAATGTGACTCTCCTTATCCCCTTCACCATTCATCATGCTGTCATTCTATTCTCGGCCAGAGGCGGGTCTCCCTTCCAGTTAATTAAATCAGATGCTTATCCTTCATGGCATGGAGGGACAGAAATGAGAGTGTTTCTATACAAGCACTAATAATAATATTGTAATAATACTAATAATCTCCTCTCAGACAGCTGAGACTACAAAGTGTGTACTCTACTGCTCAGGCATACATACACAGTCTGGATTACTAATGGCAAAAAATGCAACTATTTCCGTTTTTTTTCGGTAACTCTAGAGAGACCCCTGTGTCAAATGGTGTAACTTAAAGGTCCCTATTACGCAAAATGCTATTTTGTATGTCTATTTCACATAATATGTGTCCCCCGTTGTCTAAAAAAACAACATATTTTTCCCTCCCCATTCCCATTTTCTAAAAACAAGAGAAGGAAAGAGCGGATTTGGCCGAAACATGACATCAAGTTTCTTCGGCAGGTTGGCATAGACCATGTATGTTGTTGAGTGAGTTAGCAACAGGTAACCATGGCCACCCCCAGGGTTCAGCAATGCAAGTGCACTCCAATGATTGAGTATTGCAGTCCCATTAAGTTGAGTGACTAAAGACCTTGTTGTTTTCTAATGGTTGCAATTCTTTTATATGGCCATGTGTATTTTCGAAACTGTTGTTATTGTCATACTTGAACACAGAATGCAAATATACTTATACCGTTAAAAGCTGCTTCATTTAATTCTATTTGACTTTCAAATGTAATAAGTAAACACTGGATCCTACGCTTCCATTAAATCAATAGCATATTTTATTCATTATTTTGTACCCCTTTCTGCCTTGGTTACAACAACAACCTTCAAACTACACACCAGAGGCCTGTACTACGAAGCTGGATTTTCGCTTAGCCGACTAACTTCAGGGAAATCTCGGGCTTTCCGGTCCTACGACGCTGGTTTCTCTTTTTAGCAGGCTAGATTTCCATGGTAACTTATGCTGAGCGGCAACCTGCTCCGGAGCAGTTAGTAGGTGGCAGGCTAAGAGATCAACTCAGTGAAAGCACCGCCTGCTGACCAATCAGAGCTCCGTGTGCGGAGTTTAAAGCGATTTAAATGGGTTTTCATTACATCTTCAGGGGCCAACAGGGCAATTTTGCCCGGGGCCACCTAAAGGTTATTCCAGCCCTGAAGGAAAGAGTGTTTCATGCCAAAAAAAAACACATTGAATTTAACTGAATTAAACTGAATTGAACCTATTGTGTAATGACAGGATTGAGGGCAAGGGAAATGTGTACCACACACACACCACAGGAAATACTTTTCATGAGAAATGTCTTTTATCTTATCGAATGTTGTTTTATTGTATTACTTCCATGCCAGTCAATCTGAGGCTCTGAATTCTAAATGAGCTGAGCAGAAGTCAACTGAACTGAACTGAATTGGGATAGTGGGAGACAGCCAGATAGAGGGGAAGGAGATGGCATAGAGGCATATAAAGAAAGAGGAAAGGGAGAAGGAGGAGAGTAGAAACACACACACACACACACACCACACAGAGAGAGAGAGAGACGAGAGGAGAGAGAATGAAGGGAGGTACTGGAGATAGCGAGATGGAGATGAATACTGAGGAGATGATGAGAGGAGAGGCCCTGCGATGAGCAGAGAGAGACGGGAGCGAGAGAGAGAGAGAGAGAGAGAGAGAGAGAGAGAGAGAGAGAGAGAGAGAAGTGACATCACATCTCCCAGCCTCTCTCTCCCTCTCCCCGGCACCTTTGCTCCACTTCTCGCCGAGGAGGCGCACACAGTTTCTCGCTATCCTCCTTCACCGCTCGTAAAAAGGGGCTGGACCAAACACGCGGAAAGAAAAGGCAAAACATTTTTTTTTGACAGCATGAACAACAGTTTCCTCAACATGGCGTCGATAGGAGACTTCGACCCGCTCAACGCGACTATCCCTGCCACCAAAGTTGAAATCACAGTGTCCTGCAGGTAGGGGAATGTCTCCATTTAACCTGGGTTTAGTCTGACAGGCTTACGGGAAATCACCTGGAAGTCACTTGTGTTGTACTTGAACTCAGTCCAAGTTGGTTTTAGTTTCAGCTTATAGTGTTTTAAAACGACTATTGTGCCGAGAAATGTGTAAAAAGAAAGTAACATTTATGCTATTTATGGCGAGTAAACGTAAAACTGAGGCTAAGTGCAGACTTCAAGTCAATTTGAGAAGTGTGGTGCCACTTTGCTACTTTTACACCATTTAAAACGCTGTTAAGAATAACTATTTATTGAGGATTCTTGCATATAAACACAATTATATCAATATGTGATTCAAATGTAAAAACGGTAACGTTAAAAACCCAGTAAGGTCAGCGAAAACTGACTTTAAAGTAGCCTTCAAAAAACACAGACGTCAGTACATGAACGTTGCATAGGAATGTAACATTGAAAATAGGGACAACATGTGTTTTATGGCTATTGAAAACACAATGTCTTATACAGTCTCACTTACAAGTATATTATAGTAGTGGTACAATTATGTTAATTAAGTTTCACTGTATAATATGGTTTAAACATATTTTTTGACATATAGCTTCTCTTTTGTGTTGGATTCCCACCTTTATTCCTTAATGTTTAGACATGTATGTATCTTGTTTGTGTTATTTCAGTATTTGACAGCTGACATCTTCATTGTTGTTGGTCAGCTGTCAAGAGAGAGGCATCATGTTGGCTTATAGAAAGCTTATAAAAGATGTTCAAATCATTACATGCAGTTATGGTGTGTGGACATGTGAGTGACATTGAATGCAGCAGACAGGGCTGGTGTGTAGGGTTTATGTGTGTAACCCTGTGTGAAAGAGGTCTTTCTCTGTCATTCAGCGAGGATTTTCCTCTCTGCATACGAGTAGGATAAGAATGCAGAGGATGTAGTTTATTCTGCCTGACTGGTGACCCACAGCAGGCTTCACAGGTCAGCCATATTTTCCGAGGAGCCCCCTGCAAGGGAATCCAATGAAATGTGTCATCTCCATCAGACAAAATAGGTCACATTACATCTGCTGGCATGTTTTAAACTACGTAGAGGTTGTTTTTAATACACATTTAGCTGCCTGTCATTGTAGAAGAGGTTGCATTGTTTGGGAATTCCTCTGTGCATGTCTGTGTATCTGATGATATGTAGATATGGCTTCATTTTGTTTTTTAGTCAAACATTATGTCTCATGTTTCTTAAAACACTGCTGGCTGATGGTTATGATATTTGACAAGTTGAGACATTTTGTTTTCATTAACACAATCTCGACCAATTTACATTGAGACACGATCACAATTTTAATGCGACACATTAAGGGACATTAAAAACGCCACATAAGTCGACATTCCATATCTCTTCTTCTGGTTTCAAGTAAATGTCTTAAAAAAAGTGTTGTACAATCAGGCCATCAATCAAAAGTCTGTGTTTATTGTATATTTTGGCGCTGTTTTCACTTGTGTTATAATAATTTCCCTAATGCTGGAACTATTCAAAGATGAAACGTTTGAGATGTACATTACTTGTCTTAGAAGAGAAGTGATCAATTTGCTTAGTTGTGTGAAGACAAATTCTTGGTCAAAGTTAATATTTAACTTATTTTGCAACCCTGTAGGATTCAAGATTCCAAGGCTTTATTGTCATATGCTCAAAAGCTAGTGCTACTTTGGGAAATATAAATCCCTAAGTCCCAGGCTCCTCCTACACACAATATAGTTAAGACATAGAAATAATACAAAATAGTGCTTAAGATGGTGCAACAAAATGCTGCAAGTAAAATGCAAAAATAAGTAATCTTTATAGATGTAAAATAGAGTACTATGAAAACAGAATGCAAAATTAGGTACTGTACAGTGAAAAACAATACTGCATATTTTCCTCTCTGCATATGAGTAGGATAAGAATATAAAATATAAATAAAAACATTATTTTATTATACGTAGACTGTTAAAAGATGTACGTGTTCTATATGTAAGTAAAGACACTCAGGAGTTTAACAGTCATATTGGATAGATACGTGGAATATGACCTTCCCTTCATTGAATACTGTATTTCCAGCAGGTTAACACCATCTCCTTAGTAACAAAGAGACAAGACATATTCCTTTAGAATATATGAAGACGTTGGGCAGAGTTTCTTAGTGACTGAGTCACCCAGTCCCCGGGGGGGTGTTGTGATGGCTATCCTCCTACCTCCAACCTGAGGTAGAATGCCATGGTTACTGCCAAGTCTGTGCACGCATACATGTTTATGTGAGCTTATAGCATATATGTTGTGCATGTTTGAAGTGCAGACAAAGGGCAGTGTGCAATATCACCATGGTGACTACTTTTTCAAAGTTTCTGTGTGTGTGTGTGTGTGGGGGGGGGGGGGGTGTAAGAGTGAGAAATTGCAATGAGGATAACAATGGCTTAACTGAGAGCAATATGTATTAATAGTCGTTATATCCGAAATGTTTGATAATATTGTTTGTCATTTCACGGCAATTACTGTATGTCACTGTCGTTTATAATTGAACTAGAATGAGAATAAAGCACTTTAGTTGGGAGTGCATCTTATGGAAATTCTCGGCAATAAGCTATTTCGGCTTATTTCAAATGCAAATCAGCCTTCTTGAAACTGTTGAGATTACAGACTGGTTTTAGATTTTAACAGCTGTTTCTGGAAAAACAGGCAATTTGCCAACAAGTGACTTAATCAGTTTTTGCTTTCACTTTCAATTTGATATTCATTCTTATTTGTTTAGACACTGAAATGTTTCTTAAAGTGGAATGTTTTCCAACGAGGGAAAGAGAGAGGAACAGATATCCTCATATGAAGTAGCCCTCCTCATGTCATTGTGGTACAGTTAAAGGTGACAACCATTGCTGAAATATTGACATATTCTCTTAGCCTGCGTCTCCATCTAATTCAGATAAAGCTCTGACGCTGTGGGGAGATGAAGTCAGAGCTTGGCTCCGACTCAGCAGTGAGCTGGAGACATTTTGCTGATCGATGGAAGAGCTCCGCTGTGATCAATGCGCTGCCAGCTCCGCCTGCTGCGCTGTACAAAAGCACACATGCGTAAAAGCATGTTCACACATACTGTATAGGTCTACATACTGTATGTGAATGGACTTAGACACAAACCATCCGTCACCCACTCTTGAACAGTCACAGAAGAATAAATTACTCCCTGATGCAGGGGATTGTCAATGGCCTGAGGTCCAAATATTCCATTATGACATCGATTGGGCCAGAACACCAGCTGTTACCTATTCCGTCACACCCGGACACACACAAAAATTATATTTTTAACATGTGATAACTGCAACATTCTCTTGCACTATATTTCTATTTCTCTTGCACTGTTTTTATTGTTTAATGTCTTGTGTTTTTATGATGCATTGTAAGAGGGGCATGGGACTTAGGATTTTCATTGCCAAAACTACACTGTAGCCATAAAGCATTTCATCGTTAAATATATATACATAGCAGAGCAGACAGCGAACTGAGACCTGTCACTCTAAGCGGTCATGCCCACTTACAATTTAACTTAAAGCTTTAATATTTTTTTAAACCGGTGAATTATATAAAAAGTCACCCCTCTCCAGTTGTCATGAACATGATATTTAGCTATAGAGACCAAAGCTGTGTTTCATACCAGGCTGTATTGTGTTTATTTCAATTGTAGTTTGATAATTGAACACCTCGTCAAAGGCTTCACTGCTTGGACATGGCCTTAGCCTTTATTTGAACTTCTTGTTAGAGCGAGGTAGACTGAAAATAAATATAATTAAACTGTATCTAATAGAGATAGCACTGAGACAAACAACACTTGCACACAAATGCGCTTGCGGTCCGAGACAAATAATGACGGAAGACCGAGTAGGAGTGAAACAATGTCTTTTAGACTGCTTGACACATCTGCCTCTGACTCTCTCTTCCTCTATCCCTCTGTCTTGCCATGCATCCTAGCGCTGTCAGCAAACATTGTTCCTGTTGACAGTAATAACTCTCCTTCCTCACCTGCTCTCCGCTGTGGAAAGATGGTGAGGATATGTCTTTCTTGTATCCCCTGTTGCCAAAACACACTGGTTGTGGTGTAAATGCAAAATTGTAAAAGAGGTGCGTTTTAAATGGTTACCGTCTGACTGAATATTATTATTTTAGGCGGCTTAGAGTTTAATAAAGTAAAAATGTATAATTCTAAATCATCACAGATCCAAAAATGTAATGTCAGCCTTTAGTCCGTGTCAACACAAATTGTTCCTGACTGATTTCAGCAAAGCCCGTTTTGGAAATGTGAAAAGAGGCCACATTTGAAAATGAGGTCATATTTGTGCAGGCCTGAAGGCTGGGAAACGCGACTGCTGTGATCTTAATGGATTCACTCCAAAAATGTGTCATCGTGTTAGCTTCAAACTACAAGTAGTCCTCCGACTTAAGGTATTTCTTATCATGTCAAAAATGAGTGAAAAACACCCATAATATAAGAGTAGTTAAAGCTTGGGACAACTTCATGTTTTCCTCATTGATTGGATACAATGTTGAATTAAGTATCGTGTTAGACAATAGACTGGAGTACCAGCACAAAAAACAAACCAATGTACAGCTGTGGAACTTCATTTACAAAACTAGGAACTTTACATAACATTTATTTTATTTGTGTGATTGTGTGACTTAGGACTCCAATATAAGCAATAAAACACCAAGGTGGTACATTGACGCCAACACACTAACCGATGAAGGCAGCGGTAGGACAGCAACTCCTTTGTTCCGCAAGTTAAAATGTAACTATTTTTGTCAAAGGAACTCACACATAGTGAATACAGGCTTCCCACACAGAGCACAAGTTAATCATATGCTTGTGATGTCAAGTTACCCCTCCTTCAAGTGGAAAAACCTGGGCGTTTTTGAATTTGACATCAGACCCATTTTGAAGAATGATTATCAGTATGTGTTGGCAGGCACACTTTTTTATTAT